GGCACAGTAAGTCTGGAACATGTATGTGAATATTTTGTCCATAATCTCAAGAATCCTTACAGATATTTGCAATAACCCTATGGCAAGAAAGGTGTTAAAACCACACCTAGGCATAATCATGTTTGATCAGTGGGTTCCCTTGAACAGCTTGACAGGTTAGTTGCCAAAACTTAGCTCAGGTTTCTGAACTGAAAGGTGTTATGTCCTGGCAGGTTTAAGGCAGGTAATGCTTTACCAGCACCAAGAATTTAGGGCTCAAACATGCTGTATAGGAGGGAGCAGCTGAAACTTGCAGATTCCTGAGGATCTGCTTCCTCTCTTAAAACACAGGAGGTAGACCAACACCTCAAACAGAAACTCCATGTAGCCTATTTATCACCGGATAATCAAAATTTGTTAGAACACCCACCCAGAAACTATGATGTTTGATATAGGAAAGCCAGTTTTGCACGTTAAACCTCCATTTGACTCATAACTCTCCACATTCTACCTTTTAACCCCATGTAACTAACTGCCAGAGTAATACCACGAGGACAGAGACAGGAGTGGGACCGGTCACACACCATCCGCACTACGCTGCTTCCTTCCAGCCCACAGTGGGCAGCAGTAGGGGCTGCTGGGCAGGGCATGGAGAAACTCACCTGAGACACCAGGTTTCCTTTAACTGCTCCACCACAGATCTCCTGTGAGAGGCCTTCAGCAAGTAAGTTGTTGTTTGGTGTCTCTCAGTTTCCCACCTGTGAAATGGGAACAGCACTTCCCCCCTTTCCAGGAGCACCTTGAGGATAAATAATGTAAATTCTGAGCTGGTCATATTATAAGGGTATCTAGATAAACACCATCATTGACCAAGAGAAACTTAACCCAGTGGGAGAAAGGGGTATAGTCACTCGACTTATTAAAAAAAAAAAAAAAACTAAGGGCTTTCCATTGCTGTTTACTGACTTCAGTACCTCAGATTTGTTTTTTCTTCCGATGGTTTTCTCTGTGTTTCAACAAGGCTAATGCGTCATGACCAACTGTACAAAATACAGCTAAGAAAGAAATACAACGTGCTCTCATTTTCAAGTTTTTCTTTTTGTAATATTGAAAAGAGCAATGTTCTATTTGCATCTCAGTCTGAGAACTAGTTAACTGTTATCCACAGACAAAACCCTGGGAAGCCTTTCTGTATGACTTGGGCAGCCTGGCAGAAGAACGTGAAAGGCATCAGGGCATTTGCTCAGAGACCGATTTCACGGTATCTAAACAAAAATGGAACAAACAAGCTATCAGAATTTTCAGCTCTCTTAGCAATATTTTTTCAAATTCAGATGGAGAAATTACGAAGGTCAACATTTTTTAAAGTTATAAAGCAAATGCAAAAATACAATGACTAGAGGAAGTGCAATGGGAGTCAGCATTGTCATCTTGTTTTGGAAGCAAAAGAGAAAGAAGAGCGGGTTTAGTGATTATCCAGTGCTTTAATTTTTATAATGGGCACAGATTTGTGGTTCTGCCTCTCTCACCTTTTACAGTTGTGTTTTACAGCTGTATTTTAAGGCAGCATTTTACGTAGCATAACTTTACTCACATCAGGAGTTACAACCAATGTACACAGCACAGAAATCATGAGAATCTGAACAGAATGATCTTCGCAGATCAATAATTGCTGCAGGACTTGTATAATTTTTGATTATTTTCAGACATTCAGTGAGAAAGAAGCAGAGTCTGGACTCTGCTCTGTGAAGCACTTGCATATTTTCTGACAAAATTCTAATAAAATTTTAGCTTTCTAAAATCTTAACTGTCACTTCTCTTTAGCAAAACGCAATAAACTGCTGCTTATCTCTGCACCCTTTGAAGGAAAGTCTCCTTTGAGGTTTCTCCTTATTTACCAGCAGCTACCACACAGTCCTATCCAAAACACCTAGAAGTATTTTCCAAGAGTAGGGACCTGCATGGTGTCTTCAACACTGCTGCACTGCAACTTCACATCAAATAGAGATGTTTGATGAAAACACTATTTAGCATCTGTGGTCTTCTTCCTTTCACCTTATTGAGATAATTTATCTCCCTACATTCCTTCCCACGCCTTCCATTCTTTGGAAGGTCTAAGTTTGCGTTCTTCAAGGTCATAGGCTTGGGGGAATTTTTGTACAAGGAAGAGTGAGACTTATTAGAACCAGCTTGCATGTATCCCCTGTAATACCTATCAAAAGGATTAAGCATTATTCCCATATCAGTATCTGCATACAGACAGCCAGCAACCACATACCATTTCTGAGTCACACCTATCTTTTTAGCTCCCAGTACAAAGTAATAGCAAATTAACTGCTGACTTTTTTCTTTTTTTTGAAAGAATGTTCTGGTGTGTCTTTCCTTAGATCTTCCTCAAAGTGCAGTGCATACTAACAGAAAAATTCCATTCTTTCACTCCATTTTAGGTCTTAAAGTCATTCTTCATTACTGTAGTTTTTACCTTTATCTCTTCTCTGTCCTTTGTTTGCCTTTGATACTTAAGAGGGAAAAGTTCAGTCTTTCCTCACTGTGCAAACAGTTTCCATACTACACTAACCACACTCTGCTATCTGGACTTCCACAAGTAGATTGGCAGGCTTGAGTAGCACCCATCAATCACGACCTTTACAGCTCTGGTTTGAACTTGTAGGTTAGATATAAATGCTGACAAAACTTGGGAAGCTTTTTAATTGACACCACGTGTGGGATTCACACTCTGTAGGTTTCAACAGGCCAAACATTAGGATCTGCTCTCCATCACCCCAGCTGGCTGCCAAGACCATAGTTGTGGCATGCAGAGACTGTGGTGAGCAGTGCAGAGCCAGGTTGCAGGATATAGGAGAAACACACCAAAAATCAGCATCCACTTGAAATGTTGTTGTAGCCGACCTTACCATTCTCACTAATAGTCATGCAGTGTCACATGGCAAAACAGCTGTGAAACTACACATATATATGAAACCAGTCCCAATGGAATTGTGCCTTCTCAAGAAATCTTAGCCTCAATTTTGTATGTCTAGTGTCAGTGAGTCAAAGTTGCAAGGTAGTTTTTTGACTTTCCAAAGACAAAGTTATTCACCAGACTACTGCCATAAATACATTAAGTAACTTTAATGCTGCTTAGCATAAGTCTTTGTTATATACTTTCATCCATATACTCCAGCGTAAAGGTATTTTTTACAATATGAAGTATTTTTAAAAGTATATGGCTCTAGATAAAATGTTCACAAAAAGTCTCAATACAATTAGAGAATTAGGGGAAAAAAAATCAGACAAGAGTACAAAATCTTTGGAAGAAAAAAGATTCAGAAAACATATAAAGGCAAACATCCCACTGCAGTAATTCTGGATGACCACGTGGTTCTGTAGCCAGAAGGGCTGCCACTCAGTGCTGTGTCACCCATAAGAACCTGTCCTGGGTCAGCAGGGACTGCAGGGCACTGCTGAGGGTGGCTGCCTCTCAGAGATTTTTGTACTTAACAAGTTTGATTAAGCAACTTCCACGGCAGATAGCGTTGTTGGCTCAAGGAGAATGAGTAGGCCTGGGAATGAAGGAAATCCTGCCTTCCCTTACCCAACCACTGGTGGTCTCTGCAGAATATTCAGGTGCACTGGCAGGATGTAGTCAACAAGCTGTTTTACGAATGATAGGGAGCTTTTATTCTCCCAGGTTCTATTTGGCACTATTCACAACAGCAAAAATTATTTGCTAGCACTATAAAAAAAAATTTCACCATCTGCAAAAGGACATGAGCGTCAGGGAGCAGAGTACAACGTTATCATTTAGTTTTGCTAAATCAATTATCTATATATAATATTGCATGTCATTATTACAACAGGATATTCAAGAAAGGCTCAATTAAACTTCATTTGTGTGAAAAGCAAACTCCATAGTGGTCAGACCGCTTTGCATTCCACTGCTTTCAGTAAGATGTTGCACAGGCATCTCTCCAAATAAAAACACCTTTACAACACTGCAGGTTTAGAATGCAGCAAATGACACACTGCAAGAATGGAGGTCAGACATTATTCACCATTTGGTAACATTCCATTCAAATGATATTGACTCACATAACACCTAATAAATGCAGCACTTTAAGTAACAAAAACAAATCTCTAGGAAGTAAAACAGTGCGAATATTCCTGTTAAACAAAAATACACCATGTATATACACACAACACAAATGCACTGTTTTGTTTTGCAGTATAAATAGATCTGATAAATAGTTCCGAAAACTAATGAACTACTGATTGACAGTCCCAAACGGTTTTCATCTAGTATGGAACGTAATGAGCTTCAAGGATCAGATGAATATAGACAGATATGGCAGATACAAAAGAGTATCAAAAGATTTCACTGCATGGTTATTTAAAATATATTCTCTGTACATCAAAGTTAATAATACATATATACTAAGTTGGTATCTCAAAGTCAGCTCTGATCACGCAAAGAGCAGCACACAGAACATCCATGACTCTACAAGACGCCTCAAGGCTGGACCCGTGTGGAGTGCACCGTAACGCTGCAAGACACTTAAGGTCCAATCTCAGGAATTAACAAGGGGGGAAGCTTTTTAGCTGCCTATGCAGTCAATATCTTGGCTTAGTTTCCATTTTCTTCCTCTACTGATGTAGCACTAGAGTTCTGCTGTCTGCTAATGACATGTCTGTTTATCCCTGAACTCTCTAATACCCAATTTTTTGGGAGCCCCTGGTGGTCTAGTGGTTAAGGACGCGGCGCTGTAACCGCCGAGGCCCGGGTTTGATTCCCGGACAGGGCCACTCCCCTGGGCAGATGGAGCTCATTAGCCCTGTAAGGCAATCTACGTCCTGAGGACCTTGCTGCCACCATCCAAGCTCGCTTGGCCCCGGCAGATGAACCTCAGGATTAAAGGGTGGGCTCAGTTCCGCGCACACTGTGTCTCACCTAAAAAATCCAATGCGCAGGCTGGAAGGTGTAAAGACCTTCCCCGGTTCTTCGTTCACGAAGACTGGCCCTAATACCACACAATTAGTACACTTATAATGCATACACAATAAAAGTAAATATTAGAAAGGGAAGAGATGGAAACTTGTTGAGGAAATCCTAATTAGGGGTTATTTGCATTTAAAACAGTAGAAATAAAGTCTTTTTGGAATTAGATTACAGTAAAACAGACAAGTAGCACTTAATTTGATCTGAAGTGGAACACATGGGTGTTAACCTCTCTTCAACTGTTATTTAGCCTCCATCTCCTTAATGCCAGGGCTGTGCTGAAACCGTAACAAACAGCTGTTGCAAAGGCAAAAATCTAGAGAAGAAGCAGGGGAAAAAGGAAGAAAAAAGGAAAACATGAATTACATTATAATATTCTACTATTTTTTTCCATTCTAAATGAATATAGGGACACAAATGATTCAAAAGTTATCCCCTTCCAACCAAAACACTTAAGGTAAAGATAGGTTTGGGATCCTCTGAAGTCTCTTCAGGAACTTCTCTGTTATAACCCCATTTTAATACTACCCCATGCAACTACTTTTCACTTGCTTGCTTCAGAAGACATTTGAAATAGAATATTAAATAGAATTTCTGCAAAGTTATGGTACAAAGTAAACACATGTACATACACTATGTATTTCAGTTTTCTCTTATCTAGACTGATCAAACATTATTCTCATATTTGTTTCCAAGTGTCTTTATCAGCAAACATCAAAGAAGACATCCCTCTAAATAGCAGAGCTCTTTTACTTGCAGAAATACAGAAACAACTCCAAGTCTGGCCTCCTTGACCAGATATCCAGCCATTAGAACAACTTCCTGAACAATATCAGGAAGTTGCTCTTGCTCAAGAACTGAATTGGATAGATTTGAACTGAAGGTCACGTCACAATGAAATTGAATACGTAATGATGGGTTATCTCTCTTTGAACATACAAATTCAATCATAACAACCTATTCCTTGCTTTCCATACAAGTCTTAATTTGACAGTTAAAGTTTTGAATAGATGCTACACCATAGAAATACCATCTGTAAAAAATGAACATATATATTTTTAATCATAGTATATGAAAGTAATTTTAAAAGACAGAATGTTAGCAACTTTTTATATTTTTTTGTTATGTAGCTTACAGGACTGTTTTAATGAAGTATTTCAAAGGATTACAAATTTTTTTCTGTATGTTCTGACTTTCTAAATATACCCTTCTGCAAAAAAGTAAAAAGACACTGAAGACTACAGTTATCTGATTCACCATTTTCAAGCATCTCTTAATTGAAGATACTGAGGCAAGTTACAGAAGAGTCTTCCCTCCCTTCTCTTGACAGGGATTTGAGGGGTTTGAAGAACTGAATTTTTCCTTAAAAAAGTAGTATGGAAGGGGGAAATGGTCTCTTGGAGTACCCACTATCCTGCTGTCAGACAAAATGACTTAAGTGACCATAATTTCAGTGGGATCTGAACACACTAAACTAGGATTGAAGGGGTATGCTTAAGGGTAGAATTTGAGATACCCGCTTAGTATAAAGATCTCCCTTAGTTCAGGCACAGCTATGAGACATCCCCTCTGTCCTTGTGCCACATGGCCACACAGATCAGATGTACTTGTGTGTTACTGGGAGGTGGGTAATGGTGAGGAACTCCAGACTTGGAGACTGACCTGACCACTTCACCTCTTCAAAGTGTCCATCTGTTTTTATCTTAGGATGAACTAAAGGTGTTTACTATGCAAATTTTATGGTGTCCTTTAAGGACAACAGATACCCGCAGAGGGTTTTAGAAGCTTAATAAATATATATTGTTCCCTGAGGTATGCAAGACCCTCTGGATGGAACAAAAAATAAGAGCATTAGTTTCAGTTCTTTCAGCTAAGCCTACATGGTATACCTCTACTTGCCTCTGAGGAGTCCAGCCAGGGAGAAACCTAGAGCCTGGTATATTCTCTGATTTGGCTATGCACACCCATATTAGCAGATACAGGGATTCAGTGATGATGCAACCACACAGTAGGAAAAATGCTTTCTGAACTTAGACTATCAAGAAAAGCACTCTAATAATTGCCATAAGAGAAAATATGGCCCTTACACTTAACTTTTATGTCTGATTTAATAAGTACACATGTGGATCTTCACAAAGATCTAGTCCAAGTTTTATTTCTCCAAGGCATGTTCAGGACTATCTAAATGGTATTAAAAAAAAGATAACTGAAAATTTGAGCACAGGCATGAAATTCATACCTCATCCTTTGATAAAGCCTCAGTTATTATTTTTTCTTCAAATAATCAACACTGCTTTTACAAATTACCATGTCTAAAAATTATACACTGTAGTGATCATCTACTTAAAACGCTATGGTCAAGAGTAGCAACTCTACACTGCAGTGAAGAGTAGATATCCCATTAGCTTATACCAATAGTTTTTGCATGTTTCTGTTAGACACTATTTGCTGCTCTCAAAGACAATCCTTTCTGTCACAGCTCCTCTTTCTATTCCAGCGTGCTGTTAAGTTCCCAAGTTGAATGGCTGGCTACAAGGACTTACAACAGATTTCTGTTCCCCTGATACAAATACACAAAAATACATACCGAAGCTGCTATGCTGATGTTATATTGATGACCAGTTAGAATCCTCTCTTGTGCGGTGGAATTGAATTTGCGGGGAAAGTGATGCAGAGATGTAGTTGCTGCTTGGAGTAGAAAAGCTCCAAAATAGAAGACAAAAGTAGCTCCATGGAAAATAAAATCCTAAAAAGCAAATAACAGAATCAGTCTGGGCTGCAATCCATATGTAATTCTTCTCGTCTCAGTACGAATGAAATCCAACACTGAAACATGAAACGAGCACTGATAACAATAACTTTGGATAAGCTGTGTTAAATCCATGTGAGAGCTTAACCTGAACATGTTTTCACAGCTGCTTGTACTTATAAGCAACTCACTAACATTAGTCGTGATAAAGGACAGCTCTCCCTCTCCCCAAACCTTATATTCTTTCAAATTAGGAGGCGCGTGCTCATCTTTATGTACACATGCTGACCTCTCAGATCACTTTAAAGCTACTGGAGCTTACAGAAGTTTCCCTTCATACAGCTTAGATAAAAACGAAGGGACATACAGGGCAACTTTATCACATTTCAAGCAGTACAATATGATCTTGCAGTCCCCCACATCCTTTCTTAGCTACAACCAGAGCTCAAAAAACACCCCCTCCATGCCTAAATTTTGCTTCTGTGAAAGCCCAGAAACATCTCAGCCTTGACACAGATGAAATTTACTTCTCAACATCAGAACATAAGAACAGAGGCATTTCCTCAACTCACTCTGACTTGGCTCTACCCAACAGTCAGTAATCTAAAAGTTCTTCCTGATACTGTGGAATAAAATGCCTGAGACTTGAGAGGACAGGTGTTAGGGTTTACTTTAAATATGCTTCTCTCTTAGACCTCTCTAGGCAATTCCCTCCTCTGTGGTGAATGCTAACTGATCAAAATGTTTAAACATCTAACTTTCATTTCAGGGTTCTGTTACTGACACACATGGAAAAGGCCTGATGCTCACATATCTTTGCAGGTTCTATTTCAGAGTCCAGTGTTCCAGCAGCAAGATCTAAGACATGCTCCAGTACAGTTTTAAAACATCTAAAATATTCTTCCAACATCTCCTTCTGTTGCTGAGTCTGAAAATTGCACTGACATTTGCACTGCACTCGATTCCTGAGTCCACACAACATGTACTTTGTGCCTATACCTATGCAGGTCTGCAAAAGCCACACAATTTTTAAAATACACACAAGTATATGTATACTTTTTGATGATATCCATGATATCATCAAAAGTCTATCTCCAGCATAATGAATTCTTTATGAACTTTAACTTCACTTGAGTGCAATGGACGATCAGCATGCCAAGAGTGACAACCCAGGGTAAACTATGTGTGCCCAGCACAGCAGCAGACAGCATTTATATGCACTAGAAATTACTGTGTGACATCCTTACCAACTGTCTGCCTGATATCAAAGTGAGAATGTGCTGCATTTCCCTGTTTAGAAACATGCATTGTCTTGGCAGATGTGAGATTTTCTTTTTATTACAAGAATTTTCTTTTCAAACCCATGACTTGTTCCATATTTGATGGCGGCTAAAGCTACTTGTCACACCCTCGTCAGTTGTGATAAGTTACAACACAAGCTGCTACTACAGTTCCCCATTCCACTTAGATCAGGACTGACTGCATACAAAAATATTTTCAGAAGACAAACTCTTTCATTTCCTTCATTCTCCTACCAAACCCTCTAATTTCCTTCTCCTGGAAGCAATTACAGTGAAGCTAGGTAGCATCAGTAAGGCTTCAGTTCACATGGTTATGGTTTCTGTGACCAAAAACCCCAAGGTCTTATGAGGGAGAGTTTTTTGGTTTTGAATAATTGTCAGCATGGTGCCTAACTCTCCCTTGCCTCCACATTTGTATAATCATTGGAACCTCATACAAAGTGTTTGTAAAATACTGACAGATCTGCATGATAAGTTAGTTCACATCTAATTTTGTAAATGAGTATGTTGTGAGTCAGGCTGTAAAGGACAGTATTGGTCATACCATCTGGTTTAATACAGTGATGTACTGAGTGATGTGGTTCCATAAGGTCCATCTTTTCTACTGTGTAGCATCTTATTTTTAAAATATCTTTATTAGCATTAATGGATATATCCTTTACATTACTAAATGCAGAGCTGCATTTACCGTAACAAAAACAGTTCTACTGTTTCTAGTAATGAATTACTGATCTGCAACAGAAGGTAAAAAAAAAATCTTGTGAAGTGCTGCTAACAAGTTTAGTGCCAACAAGTTACAGAACATCTGGGTACTTGAAAATAGTGGTCAAATGATCTATGTAGTCTTATTTTTATTGAAAGCTGGAAGGGGCTGGGTTTTAGTTACCAAGTTAAAATCATTCTTTCTGCATTTATTTAAGATGCTGATTGAGTTACGACAGCTTTTCAGATGAAGCTAAAGATACAGCTTTTATACGAGTTTTGTAGCTATTTCCTGACATAGAAAGTTTTCCAGTAACTATATGCAAGAGGACAAAATTAACAGTACAACAAATCATTGCCAGTATCAAGTAGCCAATGTGAAACACACACACAATTGTCATATGATGAAATTTGTATAGCATTTTCAATCTATAGAAGGTTTTATCCTTACCTGGCAACCCTTAAATAGATGCATGATTGTAAACTGGCAAACAGTTTCAATGAAACCCAGGACACTATTAATTTACTTCAGTTATGCACATGCTCAAGGGCTTTGTTGCATCATAATTTGTGAGGATGTTGCAGCATAAATCCCTGTAAAGGTCTCTGTGATCGTAACTCATTATTAGCCTAATTACTGCCTGTACTGTGCTGGAAAGCTGATGCTGTATGTATGTGTACTCACTGTTAAAGTGCTAATGTTTGTTTTTAGTAGAATCCAGTCTGTTATCACTGATAGGCTTTGAAGTTATCTGAGCTCCAAACTCATGACGCTCCATGATTTGCTTTAAAGACCTTTTGTTTTAAGGGACTGTCCATGAATAACCTGAACAGATTCCACAGATGTGGATACTGAAGCACACAATTCCAGCTGTGATCAAGGAAAGTGTCATCAGGAAAACTAAGCCATGTAGGAGGAAGGTGAAGGTGATCAGCAGTTACAGACACTTTACACTAAAACATTTTAGTGTTTTAGAAGTTGCAGTCCTTTTAGATTTATTTGAAAATTCCCATTCTGATCAGAGTTTTGCCATCCAACTTTCAGTAATATAAGAGAGAGTGTGATATCATCTCATGCTCAACTATTTGAGTACTAAAAACTCAAAGTAAAGAACAGCTAATTACAAAAAAGGAGCCCACAAATCAGCAGCCAATAACCTGAGGTATCCATAAGCTCAGCAAAACCAGAGCAAACAACTTCCCTTTTTTAATAGGAAGGTACAGTCTGTGAGAACTGCTGGCAAAAGCCACAACAATCAATTCCAGCAAGAGTCAAGTTTTGTCTTCATAACGAGTAAAAGCTGGGCAGAGTATAATTATATCTGTAGTCTCACCAGGCAAACGTTAAGTCTCCTAGTAAGAAGCTTTATCATCCTGCAGGTTATTCTGTCTTTGACCACCTAAGGTCTAACAGTCATTTAGCATTGCTGCCTTAGTTTTAAGGAATCAACCCAAGTCACCCATAGACTTTCTTAGGAACTGGAGGGGACCTTCTGGGTGCTAAAGTCCAGTCTGTGGTATCTGTGATGGTATCTGTGATTGGAAAAACAACAGGCTACAGCAGGCCTCACTCCCAGACAAGTGAGACTGGCCACAGGGATCTGCTGCCTTCAAGCCCAAGGGAAGAGAATAGGGGAGACTCTCCTCTCTCCTTCTTATTTATACTCTCGCTTATGTAAAAAACAGGATGGAATACTGGGAATGGCCACTTCCCTAGTTTCGACCTGGTTACCAAGGAAGGCCTATATCAAACTATCACAGTATCTCAGACAAGCCCATCACACAGAATGTTCACAAATCCATCCCTTCCTTTACAATATTAGATGCATCTTTCTACGTCCTATTATTTACAGGGTGTTACTACCACTTCTTTAATAGCCAGAAAGTATTTTCTGATTTCCAGTCCACAATAATTTCTGGCCATTTAAACCAATTTGTTGTCATGCCTTGTTAAACTATCCTCTTCCTGCTGCTCATACATTTTATGTGCTCATAGAGGACAAGTATACTCCAAACTAGTTTTGAAAGCTCCTTCAGCCTCCATCATAAAACAGGTCCTGTATTTCCTCTGTCATCTTTGTAACCCTACTCTTTTTCAAGTTTTGAATTCCTCCATTTTGAAAAACTTTCCCCTGATACAGAAGTCCAGCCATTAAGACTTCAGATCGGTACTTCTCATTACAACATTTTCAGTTTATAAAACAAAGGGAATCCTTAAATAAAGAAAAAAATCTTACCGCCTGGTTCCAGTTGAGAGCAATTCTATTTGCATAGCCGAAGAGGAACACAGAGAGGAACACAATGGACAGGAACCATGCAGTCACTGCTACAAACATGACCCATCCCTGCAGCAGCGGCAGTGGAACTTGGGTAGAAGCGACCAAAATCCAGACTATTGTTCCGAACAGCTGCAAGGGAAGGAATACAGAGAATGAACTGAGCGATAACTTTCATTCAGTCCTTTCTGCCTAAGAACTGATATCACACATTACACATCATCAGATTACTCTTAGGAAACACTTCCAAACTACTCAGAGAGCCAAGTCCTCTTCTCAGAAATGGTAGGCATTAAGTCGTGGTAAGACAAAGCCACTCTGAAATTCTTTACAGTTCCTAAAATAGTCTTGAAAATGGGATATACAAACCCGGGTGACTTGTGTGCTGCTACTGAAAATTTTACCCTTACTCTCACTTTGAGGAAAATATAAGAAATGTGAAGCAAATCTATCTACATATACTAAAATTGTCATGAGAAGGATGTACTTCAGATTTTGATTCAATCTCATACTATTTAATTTAGTAGTCCTAATCAGATGAGATACAGAAAAGATGAAACTACTTCTCTTTTTCAATGTATTTGTAATAATAAACTGAAAGAGAACACATTAAGCAATAAAGTGAAGGAGAAGACTAGAATATACAATAAGGCATGTGTAAATTACATTGTAAAGATGATACAGCTTTCCAGAATCATCATAACTTGAGGAAGAATTCAGCCTGCCAATTTTCATTTCAGCATACTGATCACAGAGAAAGAGCGAGAGAAACATTGTGCTATAACGGACTGATGGAGAATTTATGTACTCTAAGACTTCTTTCATTTAATCAACTCTTGCTGTAAGGAAGGGTACTATTTCTTCCTGCAAATCCTGCCTCTTTACAAAAAGGGATAAATGGAGTGAATCACAATTGTCATCTGAAGTATACGTTCATTTATTACAGAAAGATTTAACTTCATAATCCAACCTGCTAAATAGTGACAACTACAATCAATTTCCAAGCAAGTTACTTCTGTCCTGTTTAAATTCTACAGACTTACAACCAGGAAGTCAGAGGTTACATTTTCAGGTTCAGAGAACTTTTTTTTGTATCAAGGTTGGATGAGAGACACGTTTTGAAAAATGCCTCCTATAAAATTAATTGGTTCCTCCCTCAGTTACTCTGCAGCAGCACATATGTAAAGATGCACTGCAAGTTTCAGTTCAAAGCTCCCAAGGGTTTATGTATTAGTATTCAAGTTGTTCTCTAGGGTTCCTTTTTTAGCTGCTGTGAAGAAGCAAACTTTCTCTGGTTTCACAAGACTGCAGGTGCAAGTCTGTTACTCAGTGACCAGATAGTGATGGGCAATGAGGAAGCAGAAGGGATATCAGAAAGCGTCTGTTAAACAAAAAAACAGAGACATGTGAAATGTTTTCAGTATTTTGAATATGCAAACTTGCAGGGTTCTTTAAAAATAAATTTAGAAAGGTACTGTAGAGACTGCTAATCTCGGCACCCACTATTGTGCTATTTCCCTCACACCACACCTGTCCACTTCAGCTCAGCTGTCAGATATACAATAGGTGGGCCAACCTAATTAACCTTTTGTTCCTACTGACTCAGGGCCTGATTTAGTGCCCGGACTTGTGTTTTGAAGTCCTTGCTCAGGTAGTGTTTTATAGCTTGCAGGGCGGGCAGGGACCCAGCTCACAGGCAGGGATCCAGCTCACAGGCAGCATTTTGCTCTGACCCCAAGAAAAAGAAAAAAAAAAAGAGAAAAAAAAAAATCAGTTCTACGGAGTTTGGTCCCCCCCCCTCCCTCTTACTAGTCAATACGAGGGCACTGCAGAGCCTCATGCACGGCCTTAGCTCAAAGGTCTCAGCCCTGTGTACACCAGTGAGGACTTACACGTACATGACATTAAACACACTTGTAGGAGTCTGCACGGGACCAGCAATACACGCGCAGGAAAAACCCGGTGTAACTCTCCATGGTGGGTTTTTGGGTCTGGGTCACGGAGTGGCTTAAAGTCCTCGACAGCTCAAACAACTCCGCGAAAACCACCTCGGCAGGGCTGCGGTGAGCGGACCCGCCGGCTCCGGGTCCCGCTCCCCGCCCGGCCCGGCCCGGCCCGTCCCCCGCACCTGCCCCGCTCACAAAATGGCAGGTGAGGAGCCGCGGCTCGGCCACCCCGGGGAACGCGGGGGCAGCGGGCGCGGAGCGCAGGGAAGAGCGCGGGAAGGCGGTGTCCGCTCCCCCCCTCCCCGAACTCCCCCGCGCACTCACGATCTCCAGGAAGATGACGGCTCCCGAGAAGGTGCGCAGGATCTCCAGGCCGGAGGGCAGCGTGACCCGGGCAGGCGGGAAGTAGGGAGCGGGGTTGGGAGGCGGCGGCATGGACGAGGCTGCCCTGGGTAACATGTTGCGGCGGCGGCGGGTGCGGGGCCGAGCGCGGCGGGGCCGCCCGAGCCGCGGCCAGGTGGGCGAGGGGGCGGGGGCGGAGGCGGGGGCAGGTGAGGGCGGACCGGGCAGCACCTCCTCCCGCCCCCCGCCCGGCCCGGGCCGGCACCGCCCCGCCTCGCCCGGGGCTGGCAGGGCGGCCCCGCCGAGCCGAGCACCCGAGCGGGGCCCGGCCGGGCTGGGCCGAGCCGTGCCCGCCCGGTGCTTGTCCGGCTTCCCCGGGAGCGCAGCGCTCCGCATTCGCAAGCCCTGAATCAGTCCGTGATTTCCTAATGCCAGTTTGCAAAAGGTTATTTACCTTCTGGTTACAGATACTTCGGGCTTCGAAATTACGAGGTTGCACTTTTTATTTTTTTTTAATATTTTTTTTTAATTTAAGGAACTTTTAGAAATAGGAACTTTGCCCATTCAAAATACTGAAAACATTTCACGTGTATCTTCTTTTCATTCAGTCTGGCTCAACCATGCAGAGCTGCCCAAAAGTAATAGAAAATGTTTGTTTGTAAAAGTTTTGGGTAGGTAAGGGTCTAGAAAGGCACATGTTCACCAGACCACTTATAATGCGTTTTTTTCTTATGCTTCTTTATATAAACATTTTCCCCAGATAAAGGATGTGGCACCGTGCAGCAGTTTTGTTATTTCTCCCAGACTGGTTTAGAATGAGGTGTCCTGACTGAGCACTGTTCCACCCAATTGTTAAACCATGCAGTCTTTCTGGATGTTTATCCGCAACACATACAGCTGCAATTTTAAAGATTACATTTTAAGAAGGTTTCGTTCAAGTGTAGCAGCTGCTCTGGAAGTTGAACTAGCTCAGCTGTTAGGACTATATTCCTTTATGTTTAGATGCATGATGTTTCTGGGATGTGCCTTTGTTATGGCAAGAAATGCCACAGCCTGATGCCTGGCTTCCCCACCCCAATCCAAGGTCTAGGTGGAGAGCAGTTGGCTCCAGTAATCATGATTCATCGATGCTTCTACCATAACTAGTACATAAATAGGTTTATGATGCTTTTAAAATGCAGTAAAAGCCGCTTGGCTTTGAAATTGGGGCTTCTAATGGAGGAAGAAGCAATAGTTTGCATTCCTTATTGTACTGTCTTTGTGCCTATTATAACTGGATGCCTCTTGCATTCTTAAGTAGGAGATGAGGGATTGAAACCCCATTAGGCTGAGGAAGGCACTGAGCCCAGCCTTCCCTCTTTTTAAGTGCTTTACCCCATCAGTTACTCAATGAGATAATATTTCTCCTCTAGACCTATTTTAAAAGTGAACCTTGTGTCCCATCCATTTATCTTCAGGAAAGGACTTAGGCTCTGGAGGTGCATACCTACAGGACGTGATTTGGGTGTGTTTTGGAAAGGAATGGGATTCAGACTGGTGCCTAAGTGATTAGGTGTAGGTGGTTCGTTCCTGGAGTTGTGTTATGGAGACCATATGTCCAATTAATTTCACGGTCTGGCCCTAAATCTGTTGAGACTGTCGTGCAGAGGAAGAAATCTGAGTGGGTGGAAAGCTGGGTTGATCAGTTTATGATTCAGAATGAGAACTGTGATTGTCCTTATCTTATACAAAGGAATTACAAATAAGATTTGGTCATAAACATCTCCAGCGTTATTATCCAGCTGTACATTTAATCTGTGTGAACTCCGGCAGCACTGGGTTTCACTAATGATTACATACCACGTACATTCACTTTTTCTTGCTTATAAATACAATTCCTTTTAGTCTGCACGTTCCTTTTTACACTTCTTTTCTAGAATTTTAGTAGGTTTTTACAATAAAGTCAAAATTTCACTGGGAGGTATAGGTATGCTGAGTAGATTTTTGGCAGGGCTTTTTCCTGAATCATAATCATTTAAATGAAACTTAAAAAATTTATAATATTTTTACCATGTTCAGGCAGGATGTACTACAGCACTATATGGGATTGCTTTTATACTGATTCATGACTGTTTGAATCTTTAAAGATCTGGATTCTTTAAGGGATTAGTGTCAGGATTGCATTTTTAAATTTCCATGGCAAAAGCACATGTTTGTGTTTGACTGCTTTTTAATAGCATTTTTATGTAATTAATTGCATCTTGGTATCTTACAAGGTAAACTAATGATGCTGCTTCAAGTCCACCAGAGTCAACAAGTAGACAGAAGTATAAAGATTCACTGTGCATAGGAAGGTCTGTCTATACAACCACAAGGACTAAAAACTGCTCCTAAATGGCTATAACATAAAGTCCAAACTCTTTCCCCTTCATATTCTTATGCTTATGGCAGACTAACACAAAGTGGACATTGTCACAGAACTACAAAACCTGTTGCTATCAATTTTAGATTATGAAAAGTAATTGATAATTTAAGTTCCACGTACAGTGATGTAATATGTACATATCTTATATATAGAAAGTAAAATATCTGTTTTGGAATACTGTAAGTCTCCTCCCTCAACAATCAACCATTAGAAAAATGCAGTAAGGATATGAAAAGTACTTATACAGCAGTCCTATACAGCAAAATTCAGGCTACCTTTTGTAGTGTGTACCATGACACTTATGGAAAAGCTGAATATTAGTAATGATACTACAGTAATAGGTGAAAGTAATGTCAGTGTAAGCATTCATGGTCCTTGACACCTTATCTGAGTGCGTTATCAGAAGCACTTCAGGAAGAGATGTAATCTCATGTCCCATGCTGCAGTGTGCACAAGGGTGGTCTACCAAAATGACCAAAGGGATGGAAAAAAAAAAAAAACACAACAAAACCAACCAATAAATGACAGTAGCCCTGTTCTCCTGTGGCTGTGTTTACACACAAACAGATTTCCCCAACCTAGAGCAGAGCTAAGAAAGTACTAGGATCAGATAGTATTAGGATCTGCTTCTTTATTCCAGAAAGTTTTGTTTTCTGGAGGAAGTTGCCCCCCAAAGTTGTCTGTGTTTCTTTTAGATTTGCAAAGCTACTCTTTCTTAAGAAAGAACACAGACTCTCTTAATCCCATAAATAGTTACATATCAAAAATAGAAAGCCCGAAGCTGATCGTATAAAATGCAGACTGTTTTTTTAATGGATTAATTAATTTAACATGCTCCGTGGAATTGCATGCAGGATTCTGATCTCATACTGGTACAAACTCTGGAGTCATTCTCCTTTAGCCAATGAAATTATATAGGCACAAAACTGGTTTGCATAAGATGAGTGATAAGGAAACCCTTTCACGTCATTTGTATAATGTATTTGCTTAGTGGTAACAGAACTTGAGGGTCATGGTTGGACCTATGCATATTATGAATTAGTGTGCAATACCATTACATTGTTGAGGTTTCTTGGGAGGCAGTGCAACAGTTTTTATTTCTAACAGGCAGGGCCAGGCTTGTGAATGCATGGTGCCCCTTTTTGCATCATTACACTAAGGGAAAAATAGGTGTTCAAATCTCTCACTTCATCCAGTTAAACTGAGCTTGGGATGTGTGCTGAAGAGGGGAGGTTAATAAATGTGCCACCTGTTTGGCCCACCAGTCCCAGGGATGGCTGGTTACCAAACCAGCCCCTAGAGTAGCTTAAAGCAGTCTCAGAGTTGCTCTAAGCAGTAATTTCTGGCTGGCTCATAAGGCTGGGGTAGTACTCTGGATATGGCCTCTTCCCACAGAAGTGTCTTCTGTGCCCACAGCTTTGGGATGAAAGGCATTGACCTGGCTACTTTGGCTCTCCGCAGACTCAGGATGCCCTTTAAAGCAGGGAATCCTTAGCTGGATGGTTAAGGGCATTTGAGGGTCCCTTCACACAGTTACCACACAGCTGGAAGTCTGGCATCGAGCCAGGGACCCTCCTAGGTGGAGTAAGCCGGTGTTACTGAGAAGGGACTGAGGTCTCTGACCTGTTCCAATAATGTCATTTCCATGTTCCTAAGGTTACCATCACCCAAATTGTTTAACTTGGTGGCACTGCTGTTCTCTAGCAGTGTAGTTTAAGTTGCACTCAGAGGGCTGATTCTCCTTTAATTTACTTTGAGGAACTCCTTTTAGATGTGTGAGGGTGCAGCAGAGGTAAAAATGCAAAATCTCATCATAGAAGAGAGGAAGATCCTGAACTGGCATGGTGCAGGAGGCGGGGTGTGTAGAGAGGGACATAGCAGAGCAGAGCCAAGCTACCTAATGGGATAATGTCTCAAGAACTCAGTGTGCTGCTCTTGGCATAGGTGACCCAGCAGGAAAAACGTTTTGCGTGGATGATCCCCGGAAGGGAATGTGGAAGTCTCAGAGGTACAAACCAGGAGCATAACATTCTTGTAGATGAGAGATGAGTAAATGGCACTGGTTGTTTATGACAGAATTGCCCACGGAAACCAGCAGACAGATTGCACAGCAGCAATACTTAATGCTTTGTTTTTTTCCCTGTCCCCCTCCAGCATCAAGGTGTAAAAGAGGACCAGTCCAGCCGGTTGCAGAGGAACTCACATTCAGCAGCACAGGCAGGAGGACGTGCTAAGTGCTGCCAGTGCAGGATTCAGTACAGCACCATGCCATTGGTACTGCTCATAGCATGGGTCTCTTCTCACTCTGTCATCACTCAAGGCTTGATGTACTAATCTTTACTCATAATGTGTTTGCCTCTGATCTTATCTGTCGTTACTCAGGAGTATGGATCTATGGTTTTGATGAACGAACTATCAGTACTGACGGGAAGTCACCTTTTTCCTCAGTTGCAGTTTGTTTGCCTTTTGGGGACTGTTTGTTTTATTGAGCAAATTCCTGGCTAAAAATCCAATAGATGGCAAAGGATAATTAGGCAAAAGACAATGGTGACTTTATTTTGTGATGAATGAATTCAGGAAGGAGAAGGAAGGAGACATTAAAATAGAGTTGTATAAAAAAGCACTGTAATGGTTTAATATGCATAAAAATGCTGCTGCAAGAGGAGTGAATGCATAGATTTGAAAGCACTCTGGATTTATTTAGTTGTAAATAAGATGTATTTATCAGTGTTAAAATGTATACACATAATTAGGACTTATCTGATG